GAATCTTTTCCTTAAGAAATATGAAGTATTTCCTTTGGAATTCCTTTAATACATACATACTTTTTTTTTTTTTTTTGGCATTTTTTAGGAAAGAGTCTGCAGAGTATACAGGGTCTTACTATTAGATCAGACTGTAGTGCTCCGCCTGCGTACAGCTTCCCAAGAGCTGGGATTACAAGTGTGCACCACCACGCCCAGTCTCAATTGCTGTTCTTTGTGCCCCGGGGGCAGGGCGGCACAGCAGGCTCCGCCCTCCTACCCCTGCTCCTGCTTACAGGCGCTTTAGTCCGCTGAGCTCTTTGACTGGCCCTTATACACACTCTTGTATATTTATTTTTTCCTATATTTAGGACAGGGTCTGCAAGGTATACAGGGTCTCAATGCAGAGATTGGCTCATAGTGATTCTTCTATTTTCAGCCTCCCAAGTGCTGGGATTACAGGCACATACCACCACGCCCAGTCTCAGTTGCCATCTCAGTGTGCCCCGCAAGCAGGGCTGGCACAGCATACTGGGTATCACCCCAGCCTCTGCACTCTGACTAATCGTGTGCTTTAGTATGCTGAGCTATCAGGCTAGCCCTCACACTCTTAGTTATGTGAATGATAGAGTCATGTCTAGAGCTGCAACAGGTTTTTGTTTTTTGGGTTTTTTTTTTGCCTTTTACAAGTAGAAAAGATTCCTATTCATTTTTAGATATGGACTTACTTAAAAGAAAGATAGTTGAAAGTTCTCCTAAAGATTTTGGTATCCCTCTGAGTTTGCAGTCTGTCTGTACAACTCTGACCCACTGGCATGATCTTCAGATTACCCAGTATGAGTTGATTTCTAGGTGACTTTCTTTTTTTTTAGCTTTTTTATTTAATTTATTTATTTATTTAGGTGGAACCAGGGATTGAACTCAGGCCCTTGCGCTTGCTAGGAAAACGCTTATTCTACTGAACCATCTCCCTTCTAGGTGACTTACTGAGACAGAAACTAAAATTTCAATATGAAACTGAAATTTCTGGTGTCCTCCTGAGAGGTCACTAAATAAAAAGGTGCTTAGAACAGGCCAACATAATAACATGTATCCACAGACACATTTGAATGTATAACTCTTCATCTTGACTTAAGTAGACTATTCATACTGAGCATGGTCATCAGAACTAGGGAACCAGAGTATTGGCAGGATTAAGGAATCTTGTATTCTTTATTGGAAGAAATTGGCATATGATATCAAAATATAACTAGGGTGATGGTGAAATAGCTCAGTGGACTGGGGTTCGATCCCCAGTACAACATGCCACGCCAGCCCCAAACCTGGGTGCACTGAGACCAGGCATGGTGGTGCACGCCTGCGATCCTAGTGCTGGGGAGGCTGAAAACAGGAAGATCACTACGAGTCCGAGTTGCTCAGTGAGACCTTGTACCAAATACATTAAAAACAAAAGTTGCGATTAGGAGGAATTACAAATTCTAATGTTCTGTTGTAGGACAGTAGGTTGACTAGTTTACAATAAAGCATTACATATTTTATGAAGAATTAAAAGAGGCATTCAAAGGCTTAAAAGTATTAAGGGAACTTAAGTACCAGCTACCATGATTAGAGCAATGCACATTATATTTAAGTGTCACACTATACTTTATAAATATGTATGATATAGTATACTAATTAAAAAAGAAAAAATGGTCAAAAAAACAAACCAAACATCTTCAAAGGGATAGATTGGGAAAAAGGCTTTAGGGATTTTCTAAACAAGGGAAGAAGGAAATAAGATTCATAAAAATGAAATATTAACTATGTGAAATAGTTACGTGTTTTGTAAGAAATAGATATTGGCTGCTGTCCCTTACTCTTTTATCTGGAATTCAGAAATGTCATTGATAATGCTTTTGGGATTTTTTTCTTTCTTTCTTTTTAAAGAGTACAACCTGGTCATTGCTATCATCTGTATAATGGTCTTCGAGCAAGTCTTCTGGATGACTATCAGTTACCAGAAATTTTGAGAACTCCTTTGGAAGAACTTTGTTTGCAAATAAAGGTAAATTAGGTAGGAGAATGAATCTAAATGGCAGGTAATATTGTAATTTCCAACATCTTTTATAAAAGAAACTGTTGTACTATAAGAACTTTCTGTCATGTCTCATCGAACAATTTTACCATCCTTGGGATGTATATTAAATAGTGTATAATGATGTGCAATTCTAGAGCCATGCTTCCTATATTTGAATCCCACATTTTCCCTGAAACTTGGACAAATTATGTAACTTCTTAGAAATTCTTACAACAGCGTGTGACATATAGTGAGTGTTAAATAAATGTTAGCTATTGATACCACATCTTAAGACTTACCCATTGTTAGAAACTACTTAGCATTTTTTTTGTATCCTATTTTGATTACATTGTGTTATTTTTTAAGAGAATCAGTGATCAACTTTTTGAGATTTTTAACCAGCTACTTTTTAAGAGTTACTGGCAGAGAGTATTATATTATCCTTCAAATATAATTTAGAATTGCAATTTATTTGATAAAATAACTAACTTGGAAATTGTTTGTCCTTTGGTGATTTAAATTGTTATATCAGTATATTATGTATGTTTAATTATTTTCTCTTCCCCGCAGATTTTAAGGCTAGGAGGAATTGCTTATTTTCTGAGTAGGTTAATGGATCCACCATCAAATGAGGCTGTGTTGCTTTCCATAAGACATCTGATGGAACTGGCAAGTTTGATATTTTTATTTTAGGAATATATGTTTGTAGTATATAATATGACAGTCTTGTGTGGCGTTGGTATGGGTCCATACACAGCATAATTCCTTCTTACATCTCCTTTCCCTCTCTTCTTTCCTCTACATCCATCCATCCATCTCTTAATCTTCCAAGGTGAGAAGATCTATCTCTGTACTTCCTATTATCTTTTATTTTGCTCTTTATTTATATTTGAGTTTTTCATATAAGAGAAACCATGTAATATTTAAGCTCATTTGTCTGATTTATTTCACTCAATATTGTCTCAAGGTGCATCCATTTTTCTATAAGTGACTTGTTTATCTTTCTTATGGCAGAGTAGTACTCAGTGTAAACACCTTTTCTTTATCCATTCACCTGTTGATGGACATACAGACTGCTTCCAAGATGTAGGTGTTAGGAATTGTGCCGCTGTAAACTTGGGTAGGTATATATCACTATAGTATGGTATCTTTAACACTTCGGGAGATACCTAGAAAAGAAATATTGAATTCTAATTTCTAGTTTTAGATTTTTGAGGAAGCTCCATACTTTTTTTAAAAAGAATTCTAGCAGAGTATTAAAGCATATAAGTCAGTAGATCAATAAATATTTAAAGTATCAAATTTTATTTACTATTATTAGACTTTTAGCTTAGTATATGAGAGGTATGTTATAAAACCATACTTTTGTTATGTTCTGTGATTAGTCTTTATACTTTTTTTCATTGCAAGCCAAATTTAAAGTACAAGAAATATTGAATTTTTCAGTTGCTGGTTTTCATACATGTTCTTGAAATAAACTTGCTTATTCTACTCTTCTGATCATTTTTTTTTGGTCAAATGAGGTAAATTAATGATAGCATGCATATTTTATAAAGGTAACTCTTTAAATTCTTCTAGAGGAATACTAACAAAATGTCCTTTGTCCAAACTGCTTAAAGTCCTTAAACTGTGGTTTTTGTTGTGAGATACTAGTTTCAGTTTTAAGTGACCTCTTAGGCGGCAGTACTCTTGTACAGAACTGTACCAAGAGAATAGGACTGATTGTGGGTTATGCCCACAGTAAAGAGAAAAGTACAAAAGTTAGATCTGCTGTGCCCTGTACCTGCAGCCATTATATAGCAAGTTAACCTGTGAATTAAATTAAAATTTCAGGATCTCAGTTCTAATCACACATTTTAGATGCTCAGTAACACATGTGCCTACTTCACTGGACAGCACAGAAATAGAACATTTCTGTCTTTTTTTTATAAGTTCTGTTGGTTAGGGCTGGGTAGAGTTAGTCAAAGATATGTTTTAAATATTTCACAGGGCTTTTAGGGGGCTATCCAGTTTTGATGGTGTAGACATACTGGAATATAATACCTTTTAGCATGATAAGCTATTTAAATGAAAAAAAACATTGTAAATTATGCAAACGATGTGTCCTGGAATTTGGATTAGATTTAGTGAGATCACTGGAATTTAGGAAGTAGTGAGATTTTACTTTGTATCTCTCTTCCCAGAGAGACTTAGCTAATACATTGCGATGCTGGAGAGGTGGGTGATGAGCAGAGAATCAATTTAGGTATAGTACAGATAGACCAGAGGACATGCCCAGATTCTGAGGTCCAAATAGAGTGAGTTCCTCTCTCTTGACTGAATAAAAGAGGAAGCCTCCCATTTGCAGGTTGTACATGACAAGGGCAGCAAGTATTTTCCACAGGTTGGGGGAGAGATAGCTCAGCAGTCTAAGTGCCTGTCTGGCAAGCACAAGGACCTGGGTTCAATCCCTGGAACTGCATGTTGTGCTGGCCCTGCATGTGTAGAAAGATACTGTACCAAATAAATAAATATATTTTTAAAAAAAGTATTTTCCATATTTGCCAATTACACGATGAGATCCACTTTTTTTTTTTTTTTAATGTATTTGGTGCAGGGTCTCACTACACAGATTGGACTTGTAGTGATCCTTCTGTTTTCTGCCTCCCCAGCACTGGGATTACAGGTGTGCCTCACCGTGCCCCAACATGGTATGGGCTCAGTGTTCTTGGGGGTGGGACCGGCATGGCTTGTGGTGCCAGGGATCGAACCCTGGTCTCTGTGCTTGCCTAAGCAGGCAGTTGGTCTGCTGAGCTACCTTGAAAGCCCTGAGACACCCAATGTTTAAGAAATATTTTTATTTATTTATTTTTTTAAAAAATTATTTATTTATTTATTTGTGTGTGTGTGTGTGTGTGTGTGTGTGTGTGTGTGTGGCCAGCTCTGCCCACCTGGGGGCGGGGCTGGCTGGCATGTGGTGCTGGGGGATTGAACCGCGGTCCCTGTGCTTTGTTAAGCCTGTTCCAAGTAGGTGCTTTAGACCACCGAGCCATCTCTCCAGCCCAATATTTTTTATTTTGAAATACAACATGCACAGCCAGGAAAAATGAGAATAAAAATATACTACTTTAGAATTTCTTTTTCTCTTTTTTGGTACCAGGGATTTAACTCAGGACCTTGTACTTGCCAGGCAGGCGCTTATGCTACTGAGCTATCTCCCTGGCCCATTTAATGATTGATACAGTAAACACTGTGTAATTACTTAGGTCAAGAACACATTCAAAGAGCCCCCTTAGTGTGCGCTTCCAGTTTCTCTCTTGACCCCACAGTTGGTACTCTTCCACTTGTTTTGTCATTCAGATAAGCATGTTTGTAAATACTTGCTTAATTTTATCAATTTTGTGAACTTTATACAGACTTGTAAAGGATGTAGAGTTTTTTTTCTTTGTAGGTGAGAGGAACAGCATTCTTTTTTCTTTCAGTTAACATTGTAAGATTCTTCTACCTTGTTACTGTTACATATACGGTAACTCATTTGCTTTCTTTGCCATATTTTATCATATAAGTAATGAAAGATTTTCATTTCCTCCTTTGGGTTGCTATATAACATTGCTATGAATATTTTTCAGTATTCAGTTTCTTGGTGCAAAAATTCACATGTATATCATTGATACATACTTAGTTGTGAATTAAATGTGTGTGAATTCATTAGATATATGTGGCTGGTGCCAGTTGTAAGTAAAACTATATTATTACTCTGTAGCTTCACTAATCCTTAGTATTATCAGTCTTATTCTTGTCATGATGGTAGGTATCTAGATATTTATATTTTTAAATTTAATTTACATTTCCAGTAGTTGAATTTGTGAGCAACTTTTCATGTTCATTGCTTATTTAGAAATCCTTGCCATATATTATTGATGCCTATTTTTCCTGTTAGGTTTCAGGTCATTATGTACTTGTGTACTCTTGATCAGAGCCTTTTATCATTTGTGTATTGGATATGTCTATATTTTCTTCTTTGTTCTTCAAAGTAGTTTCTAATGAACAAAGTATTTTAATGCTGTCAGATAATATTAGTCTTAAAAGTTACTGGTTTTTGTAAGAAGTCTTCAAAATCTGGAATCATAAAGTTTTATTTTTTGAATTTTTTTACTCTGTCTTTCTCATTTCGCTGTGTAATCCATCTGTATTTGTGTTGTGTATGTGTATATGTAGTAAGATAGGACTCTTAAACTTTTATGTAAGTAGATCTGATCAATGGAATATTGTAGAACAGCGGTGCAATACCTGTAGCATGTGTGCCGCAGTGTGCTGTTTATCATGGCAAGATTTTTTTTTTTTTTTAATATATTTAGTACAGGGTCTACAGGGTGTCACTACACAGATTGGACTCTTAGTGACCCTACTGTTTTCAGCCTCCCAAGCACTGAGATTACAGGTGTGGGCCATCACACACAGTTTCAGTCGCAGTCTCAGTGTATGCTGGGGGCGGGGTATGCAGGGGATCAAACCCCAATCCCTGCGCTCTGCCTAAGCACTGTGCTATCTGGCCAGCCCTATCATGCAAAGATTTAAAAGAGTCTCTGTCAGTCACTGCTACAGAAAAATTCATCCTTCTTTGTTCTGTACCCTTTGACAAAGTGTGGATTTTCATATTGGTTGTTTTTACCCTGAGCTGTTGTCACATTGTCTTAATTATCAATACCTACCTATAGAGTTTTTCTGTTTATGGTTTTGTTGTTTTTATAGCATTATGTTGATATTTAAAATGTTAAATCAGTTCAATTCCTGAAATAAACCTAGCTACTTGGATTCAGTTTGACATATGATATTTTGTCTTTTTAAGGTGTAAACTATTTAGTACTTTTCTGCAGATGTACCCGTCAAAGTGTTAGGTATCAAGATTATGGTAGGCGCAAGAACTAATCTTAGCATTATAATTTTATTCCCCTTGATTTTGATTTCTTTTTTTTTTGTATTTTAGGGAAGAGTCTACAGGGTGTTCAGGGTCTCACTACTAGTTCAGACTAGTAGTGATCTGTCTGTCTACAGCCTCCCAAGAGCTGACATTACAGGTGCACACCACCACGCCCAGTCTTAATTGCCATCTCAGCATGCCTTGGGGGCAGAGCCAGCACAGCAGGCTCAGGGATTGAATCCCTGCTCCCTGGGCTTGCTTGCAGGTGCTTTAATCCACAGATACCAGCCTCAACCTCTTTGAATCTCTACCTTTCTTTCCCCTGATCCTAAATTTGTAATTTTTACAGCTCTTTTGCTTAATTACTGTGTATCTTCAATCTACCTGCTTGTTGAACAGTACTTAGGGCTGTGGTTGGACCAGATTACCAAGGGAACCAGAGCTCATGTTTCCATTTCCCAGGGTTCTAGACACATCCTTTTTCTTGTGTTCCTGTCTCACTGTGTGTAAAGGAATAAAATTTAGGGTTTGTGTTTCACCCATCTATACTGTATCTTTTTGTTTTCTTCTTTTCTGCAATTCTTGTGCTTTTGTGGTTGATTTTCTTTCTTTGATTAAAGGCTTGGTAGTTTGTTTCTCTTTTTAACATTTCCAGTTATGCAAAGTTGTGTATTAATTTTGTTTTTGCTTAAAGAAATTTTTAACATCAGAATTTATTTTTTGATGGGAAATAAACAGTAGAAGAACAATAAGGGAAAATGAAATAGCAGCTAAAGATTAAACTTTAAGTGTTTAAGAAAGTGAGTAGTGATTAGTGATGTTTGTTCTTAAATAAACTAAAATAACTTTAATTTGAATGCTTTACCATGCTTGTTTTTAAAATAATCTTTCTTTACAGAATGCTTTGGATAAACAAGAAGAATTGACACCTCTTGGAGTCCACTTAGCACGATTACCAGTTGAGCCTCATATTGGAAAAATGATTCTTTTTGGAGCTCTTTTCTGTTGCTTAGACCCTGTACTCACTATTGCTGCTAGTCTCAGCTTCAAAGACCCTTTTGTCATTCCACTGGTAAGAAGTAGGAATTTAGAAGCCAACCATATGTAGATGCTAAAAGTAGTTGTTGCTTTAGAAAGTTTTTGCTTTCAAAACTTTAAATTTTTTTGAGTACATTTTTATTAGCTTTATAATTAGAATATTTTTTATTTGTGTCAGAAAAGTTTAAATTGCTTGTATCTTTTCTTTATTTTTTTTAAGGGAAAAGAAAAAATTGCAGATGCAAGAAGAAAGGAATTAGCAAAGGAAACAAGAAGTGATCACCTGACGGTTGTGAATGCTTTTGAGGTATAGAAAATTCTTGCTCTAGATTTTGACAGATTTGAAAAACTGATGATGGCATAGTAACATATTTAACCTTTAAAAACATCTATGTTGTACATA